ATTTAAATATTGAAATATACTGTAAACTAATTTATGAAAAAAATTTGATCTTAGATTTTTATTGGTTTATGAGACATAATGATTAGTTGCTATGATAAAATTGATTTACAGTTAAAATATATTAAAAGAGACTTAATATTTATTTAAACCTTAAATGTAAGATTTTGAATGAATTAATTATGCTTTCATAAAGAAGCAACTTTTTCTTTCATAAAAAGTATTTTTTTCATACAAATGAGTTTTCATTTTTTATGAAATGACGATTTTCATATTTTATATTTAGTTTAAATCAAACTATACAATTTAAACATCAGGTCTTCCCACGTTTCGTGTTTGTGTGTCAAAATAGGTTCTTTAGGATTCAAGTCATTACCTACATTTTGTGGTAGCTATCCCGCAGTGTCTTTTAATTTAAAAAAATAATTATTTATTTAATTTTATTTCAATTATAAATAAAAAAAATTCAAAATTTTTTTTTACAAGAATTTGACAATGTTTGCGATTATATGAAAAAAATTTACTGAATTATTACACAACTTCATATGGCAAGGATTTGATGTAAAACCATGTTAAAAAAAATAAGATTTTTTTTGAATATTTTCAAGTCAAAATTGACACTTCTCATTAGATATTAAAAAATTATTACAAACCATTGTTAAAAAAATTTTAATCAAAAAATCAAACTTAAAAAATAATTTAAAACTGATGTTTCGAAGCATTGTTATATAAAAATGATCTAGGTTATGGATGTTATGGCGACGTTTGGTGAACACTTCAAAGTGTTATGGAGCAGCGAGAAGAAATTGTCAAACTAAAGCAACAAGTAAACTATTTTGAGTTAAAAAAGTGCATGAATAAATATATCAAAAGATTGATGTTTTGAACCATTGTGAACAAAGTTTCAATACCGATTTTAGTTTATTATTATCAGCATTATATCCATCCATATTTTAATTGACATAGATTAAAATATAACATATGTTTATAATTATGAATTAATATATTTTTTGCTTAAATTAATTTAATTTTTTTGATTTGTTGCATATTTTTTCTAAAAAAACAATTATACATATAAACACATATTATCATTTTTTCAATATAGAGTAAATAATTATAAAAAAATTCCAAATATTTTTTGAAGAAAAAAATGCATGCAATAAATTTAATTGATTATATTTAAATATGAATATATATTAGATTTCATCATTGTTAAATTAAAATTTTTTTAATAAAAATTGACATTTTAAATTAAGAATAATTAGCTTGAATTTTATGAGAATATTCTTATCTTGATTTTAACTGAAAATCTACAAGTACTATATAAATATTTGAAAATTCTAATCATAAAAATTTGATCAAATAAATAATGCAATCTAATTTTAAAAATTTCAATGATCTGATTTCATTCTGCAAAAAGCGATTACAAAAATATCTAGATGTAGACTATTTGACATATAACTTCTGATACTGCAACCTATACAAAGGAATTACTTTTTGCATGTGCAATTCGTACATAGATCAAAGAAACTTGGCAACCTTTATAAAATTGATAAAATTCATATAAATAGATTGAACTCTTTATTTTATTAGTTGATATGAATCGTAATGTTAGTCATACATTTTTGTAATTCAAGCATTAGTAGTTTGAGTGAAGATAAAGTGAAAACAATGAATTTATAACTTTGAGACTGTCAAAATAGGTAAAAATCTGTATATATTTTTTTTGGCTGAAAATATTAAAGCATGTAAACTTACTTGTTCACTCTTGATGAATACATGAATTCAGTTACAGATTGGAAGTTTATCAAGATTTTTAAAAATTTATTTTAATTGTGATTTTAGCATGATTGTAGTTTACAAAAATTTCAATTTTATATCAAAGATAAAATAAAGTATCATCGTTTGTTCTCACATCATCTCTAACATATTTTGGTGAATTTTTTGGATTTTTATTACATTTATGAATGAATTTAATTGATTACATTTCATGAAGTATAACTGAAGAATTAGTGTTATATATAATGAGATGACGTTACTTTTCATGTTTAAACTAATATATATATATATAGATTTGAGTATCTTCTGTATTCAGATTTTTACCTTCATCCTTCTATACAATAAACACTTTTCAGTAAACATTTATTTGTAAATTTTACGATATTACAAGCTGTTGAATTTTTAGAGAGGAATTCCTAATGTAATGATGCCAAATAGTCTTAATTCGACCAAAGATAACATTTATTACGTTGTACCTTCAAAATGTCATTATTTTGAAGATCGTTTTCGAAAGTCGTTATAGTTACCTCTGTTCTACGCATGTAGTCATTCATCGGGCAAGGCCCTTAAAGTTCTAAACTCTCGATATGGGAGTTGTGGATTGTACCTACATGACAGAGACGTAGTAAATAAGCTAGAATACATCCACCTAGAATATCAGATCTAGAGCAATGATTTAATAAAAGTAAGGGCGGACAATGCTTAGAAATTCGACAGCTTTAAATGTTACATGCTTTTACTTTTATCTCATGAAAATAAGGTTGTCCATTTGATTCCACTTTGTTAAAATACAATTTGTCCACAAACAAAGAAATCATTCGATTTCAATATTACTAAACTTGCATCATTAATGTATATCCGAAAGTTGGAGGAGAATTGATCAATGGAGGTTAGAACCGATGGACAGAAGATACTATTGAGTGCCCCTACGTTTCAACTGTTAAAATTAATTATAGGAAGACAAAATCACACGGGCCCACCGAATGGATATCAACTTAGACAAGCATATGACTGGTGCAGCATCGAACCGGCCATAGAGGGTCGTTGTTCACCAGATTTATTCAGGAAATGCAGAGACAACGGGAGAATACCAGTTACCGATTTCAATAGGTAGTCGCCAGAATTTGCTTCTGCACGGACCTAAATAATCGGTCGGGCAACGAGCAACTGTCCTTCACAGTACTGTGACCACACCACTGTAGAAGCAAGCGACGGGTGATCGCCAGTTTCTGCAGAGTCACATGGAAAACGGACGCTTCCTATTAATGAACACCAGGTACGCTGGACAGTACCATTCGGACGTACTACCGGGAAGGATTATACTTCCGCAGAATTGAAGGAGACCGGAGTTCGTTTGCTTTCTCCGTACTGTGTGAGAAGGCAGTCTATCTGTTGTGTATCTGGCTGTTCCATTGACTGTGAGCACATCCAAGCGTGAAGAGTCTGGGACGGGAACATTCACGAGCCACCACTTTCACCAAGAGCATCTAATATACATTTCGGCTTCTACACTCTTGTGGTCCTTGAAATGGTCACGAAGACATGTTATATTAGTTACTTCTACGACAAGAGTATTTTCGTTTCATACTCTCACTTCATCTATAAAACGAAGTGTTTCATAGATGTGTGCTATTCTTTGTTTCTTGTTGAAAGTTCATCATACTCCAATCTCAACCGTAGATGTTACGATTTGGGACAGGGTTTACTAAGTCTGGACTATGTATTATCTTGTAAAGGAGAGATTATAAAACACTGCCTAAATTCTTTTCAAAATGACCCATTTTCGTAAAAAAATTCAAAAAACGGAGTTTTTCAGTATTGAAAAAATTCTGAGCATTTATAATGTATTTGCGATCATAGAGGGACTACATTATCTGTGCTAGTAATGCTGGAAGATGTTAATAAATTTAGATTATTAATATTTTCCCACGACCGTTGAACGTTAGACACAAAACTTAATCTCCCAAAAACTCTGCAGCCTTTCCTTTCCTTTTCTTTCTGTAGTACCAGATAGAATCATGATTTTCAGTAAATAATTCCCCTTGGCTATATATTGCTGGTCAAACAAATGATACTCATGAGGTTCTGGAGAGTTATTCGTAACCCTTGTTGAGTTGAAACTTGGGCCCAATCCATGGATTTCTGTATGTTTGAGCGCATACTAATCGTAAACCTAATTGACTTACTATAGTGTGAGTTTTTGAATTAAATTACGGCCATTTAAGTTTTGTTTACACCACGTGCGATTACAAATCAAGCGAGGTGTGCCATCGACCTGGTTCTACCACATTCTCTACCTGTGTTTGGTGTAGGTTTAATCACGTGTCAATAGTAGACCGTTTGGGTTGTGTGGAAAACGAGCTGCAGCACTAGTTCCTCTTCAAGCAAAGAATGAGAACTTTTATGTGAGGGCATTCCAGTCGTTAGACCATTTCAAAGAGAAATAGAACCCCTTGTTATCTAATAAATTATTTTGCAAAACGCACGACTCACCCAAAGTCAATAACTTGTTAAATGGACATATGCATAAATAAATAAATTATGGCACATAGCTGCAGAGATGCGGAGAACTAACTGGCAGACTATTTGGTCCTCACTGAAAAGTCAAATAGAAAGACATTTATCATAGTCATAGTTTCTGTGAGTAAAACTTCGCGCTAATAAAAACAAGTCAGAAGATATGAAAATGGCTATAGCAACAGAAACGTTAGTGTGCACCATAAGTAAACTTTGCGGGCGTCAGAACTCGTCTCGATCTTCCCGGATAGGCCGCATGAGATATTCCACGTCCGTCCGTTTGACCACCGAACATGATTACTGCTGCGCATTGAGTAGAGGGAACAGGGCAAAGGGCAACAGACGGTAGCGGGGCAAGTCTACGAGGACGACGAGCTTTAGCCTCTAGCACAAGAAATCCTTCTGGTCCGGCAGAGCCTGCGAGCACCGAATCTTATGTTCAGATTCTCAAATCTCCGGATTCCTCCCCCACCCGCGGCTGGCGTATGTTGTGACGTTCACGTGATTTGGGGATTCTTCCGTTAGCGGTTTCGGCAATCACAAACCTCAGGATACACCCGTCCGACTGACGAGCCTCCCCGGTTTCCGACCGTCCGTCAACGCCAAGCGAAAGCGCCAAGCGAGCGAAGGCAGCGCTTGGAGAGCAGGAGCCTCAATGCAGAAAGAAGAGTCACAGGCAGCGTCCCAGAGAGAAAGGGACAAGCAGTGAATGCACCAGAAACTCGACGAGAGAGGGAGAGAGAGAGAGGGAGAAAGAGAGAAGAGACGACGGAGCTCTGAGTGCAGGGAGGCGACGCGAGGGGAGGGCAGGGGAGGAGGAGATTGGTAGTAGTAGTAGTAGTGGTGGTGGGTGGGGAGGAGGAGGAGCAGAGAAGCGCATAAAGAAGACGGCTAGATTGCCTTGAGTATCCATGAGCGGCAGCGCTGTAGTGATCCGCAATGGATCCGACGTCCTCCATCGCTTCGAAGACTGAAGAAGAAGAATGGGGTTTATTTCTCGAATCTTTCTTTCTCTCGTGCAATTTTTGGGTTGTTCTGTTCGGATGTTTGGTTTAGATCGTGGTGTTGTCAACGTTTGGATGGATGGATTCATCGCGGAATGGGGTTCTTCGACGTCGAGTGTCCAGTGTCGAGAAGTGGTCCAAGAGGAGGGGAATTCGAACTTCTTCCTTCATGATGGCTCCGCGTGTTGAAAAATGGGTTGTGTTCCGGCGATGCAGCGCTTCGCCTTTGATCGGGATGATCGGAAGTTGTTCTTTTGTTATTCCCTTGTAGTAATTATGGAACTTGTGAAGAGCGATTGATCACCGATACAGCGCTGTTTCACTTGCTCTGCATTCTGTGGTGTTGCTTTGTAGAATTGCTGGATGAATTTGCATAATAGATGCGTGTTTTCCAGAGCCTTTTATTCGCAATTACCCTTTCTGGATTCGAAAGCTATCGTCGCGATTTTTCCGCCCTCGTTAATGGGGTGGAGCCTCGCGACTGGAAGGAAAGTGCGAAGGCCGCCGAAATACTGTGTACAAACTTGTGGATTTTTAAAGTGAAAACAGCGTTTGAGATTGAATGAAATGTATATAGGTACTTCCTTATCTGCAGACAAGAGAGTCACCTCAACAGCTCTTAAGGGAGGTGCAGAGTATGAGGTGGCGAGTATCGAGGTGCATCCTTGATAACGTAGTGGCTATGATTATTGCATTGCTACTTGCATATCAAACGACCGGAATGTGTGGGTATTCCGAAAAGCCAGCGGGTTATAGGAAATGGGCCTCGGAGGCAGCTTCATTATACACAAAATATAGGTTGTTTCTTAAGGAAGTCAAGCAACCGGAAGCGTCAAAAGCCCCGGGTTTTCTCGTGTGGAACACACAGTCTTGCACTGAATGCAGGCCCCACGAATGCATTGTTGTCCTCAGGTTCCCTCCGATCGATAGTGGAACACCGGAAGTAGCAAAACAATTGCCAATCAGTTCCTCGCTAGAGAATATTCATTGAAGTCCACTTGGCTCCTCTACTTGGAGTTCCGTTATCATAAATTAGAGTGATGAAGATGCAGATATTTTGTCTTATCCCTAATTTCTATGTTGCGGTTTGTTAAACCGAGTGCAAAACCTCCTTACCTCTTCAAGCTAATTGATAACACTAACTACTGGACCTGCACTGAAAATATGGCTTTTTTTGTTTACAGATGCTGATGGTTTCGAGATTCCAAGCTTGAATACTGGCAAGCCGGCAGCGGGTCGCAAGGAGAAATCAGAGTCGGACAAGTCTACACGACCATCCTTCGAAAAAGTAAGCTTTATTCTCTTTGTGGGATTTTGTTACTGATTGGGCGTCGGGAAGTGGACTCGCTAGGCTTTGAAAACGTGCCGCAACAATGTTCACTACGCGTGTTTTACTTCTTTTGTCTTAGTACTTGTCTGTCTTACTTATACTTGCTGTTGAAGGTACTAATGTAAGTTTTTCTTCCCCTGGAGGAGCTTAATAATCTGAAACACAGCAGTATATCTTCTTCTGAAGATAACATGTCTGTGCCGCTATGGGAGCTATCACTTGACTTCCGTCCGACTGATTTTTAAAGATGGCATCGTTGCCTCGTTAGATCTCTCTGGACGGCTTGTACGGCTTAAATGTGCCTTTTTTCCTCAGATGTAGAGGGTTCAGCTGACATAGCGCGACGTTGTCGTAGAACATTCATGATTGTCACAACGGTATACTCGTAATTGTCATTCTGATCTCTCTGGTACGTACTCCGGACACAGATGGACATTCGATGTTTAACTTGACCTAAAAATTCCTTGCTGTGGCTGTTTTGGCCTCAGTTGAACTTAACCCAGTAGTAAGAAGAAGAGTAGCTATGGATAAGTTGATTTTCCAATTAGCTTCACACAGCTTTTCTAAATCACTTTCACGTTGTGTCAGTGTTTATAAGTAGAAAGTAAGTGAAAATTTTCCCGGACTTGACGTATTCTCTTCTTCCGGTATCCTTGAAAAGATTATGCCTTTCAATTGTGTTTCGAACATCACCACATTTCGACTTGCGCAGGTCGAAATGTGGAACAACTTGTATGAAGAACAAATGTTTTCGCAACAAATTGTTCTTCACACAAGTTGCGTCTTGGCCTACACTTTAAGAGCAAGTGTTGCATGCCGTACACCTCGAACGTTTTTTTTTCCCTGTCTAGTCTTAGTTATGAACTGACCTCAACTCAGGCGTACGAAGTAATTGGTGTCAGCTGAGGAGAACCTGACATCGTTATTTTTTGTGTTCGACGTGAGCCTTACAAGTTTAGAGGTCTCTTATGAATCTCTTTGACATTTGAAGTTTTAGATAAATAGTTATATCAGTGTATGATGAGTATTTGATAAAAAACTCTTCATCCATTGTCATTTGAATCTAATGCAATATAATTAAATTTTTTATTTATAATACAAAAATATTTTGTAACCAAACAATCTATCACAAATTATAGAAAACACATATTTCATAAGTATAAAAAATATACTGAAAACTTTTTTAGCAATACATTTAATTTTGAAGCATATTCTATCTAAAGCGTAAAATCATAAACAAATTGTTCTTCACACAAGTTGCGTCTTGCCGTGCACTTTAAGAGCAAGTGTGGCATGCTGTACACCTCGAACGTTCTCTTTTCACTGTCTAGTCTTTGTTATGTACTGACATCAACTCAGGCATACAAAGTAATTGATGTCAGCTGAGGAGAACCTGACATCGTTATTTTTTGTATTCGACGTGAGCCTTACAAGTTTAGAGGTCTCTTATGAATCTCTTTGACATTTGAAGTTTGTTCCTGGTGGTCGTTGTTTCCATTATCAAAGTCTGTAAGATTGAGCTTAAAGTTCTGCTGCAGTTCGTGAACTGGAGGACAAAGAGTTGGGTACGTCTTGCAGATAGAATGTTGCAGTCTTATGCTGGGAAGTGCGTATTTCAGTTATGTCTGTACTGGGGATTACTTTTTCTTTCTTCCCCAGTGTCACTTGCTCGATACCGTGCGTGAAATTCAGTTTCATCAGTTTAGAGCTGCGAACGGCTTATACCCTCTTCCGTTTATCTGCGGTTGCTTTACCAGGAATGTTAAATTTTGTATATAATTTACGCGAATGTACAATATACTACTCGAATGAGATGATTTTGTTTTACTTTTGTCCAGTGATCTTGGATATTGATGGTAGTTTGCAACATTTACATAATATCTTCATGAATCTAACTTTTGAGACCCTGAAATGAAACAGGTGAAAACAAAACCCGAGACTATTTATTTGGGGCCTCATGGAGCCCCACCTAAGGGGCAAGAAGCTACGAGTCCATCAAACAGAAAGCAGAGGCTGAAACAGAAGCTGAAGGATGCTGAGAAAAAGGGTACTCCGTTGGGACGCGAAAATAAGGTTGAAGTTCTTCGTGACCTGATTGGGAGTAAAACTGGAGTTTCATCCCCAAGGGCGGCTTCAGAGGGGTGGCTTGAGCCTTTCTGTCATGAGAACCAGTTTGAAAGAGCCAAGCGTCCAGCTTAGCTTTGTCTCCACTACTTATTACTTTCACTTGGGCGATTTTTTTTTATTACCAAGCATCACTGTTGGTTGGTGAACGCACCTGACGGTTGAGTGGTGGTACTTTAAGGCCACGAAGAAAATTAGCGGATCTGACATAGCTCACTAGGCTCCTGCAATGAATCTGTACAGAATTAGGGGTTCACACCATGACTGACATAATGTGTCTTCCCGTGTCACATTTTCTTTGTTCGTCAAGTGAGGACCTTCGGCAAAATGGTCAATCTCTCTGTATTTATATTCTGGGTAGCAATCCCTTCATGTCCACATTTTGTCTATTGGTTTCAACTGTATTCTTTTATGGTTTTCCTGTATCACTTTTCAGCGTCGTTAGTAAAACGAGCCCGAAGGTAAAGGTTTTGTTATAACACACAAACACTTAGTGACAAAGAACTACATTTGGCACGCATATATCATCATCTTGATAAAGACGTGCATTTTTGTTGTCTGTGCATTGCAGGTTTTACGATGAGAGAGAGAACCTTGTTAGTTACCTCCTTCTAAAGCATTTGGCTTGTGTGTTCTGGAGTGGACTGCAGATTTCAGCCGAAAGAAGTTCGAGACTTCGTCAAAACTTTCAATGAACAACAACAAGCAGTAAACTAATAATAAAGAATCGCCATACATTTTGAAGCAGGTAGTTCAGCTTCTTATCATGGAAGTTGTCCGAACGAACATACTAGTAGGAAGCTGCATATAACGCGTAAGTAGGACCTCGACCAATTGGAGAAACTCCCTGTCATATGTAATACGATCCGTCTTTTTGTACCGTCTAAACCCTTCAATTCAATGTCTATAGCTCAGCTATCACAGTTTACGAGGTAAAGTCGGCGTGCGGGGACAGTGTTTGTAAAGTCGCTGACAAGTAGGAACTGTCCTTGGCTGAATGTGCACTGTCGCGCAGAACACCAATAATCCGTGGTCATAGAGCATTTTTAAGTCGCAAAGAGCTCTTTGTGAGACGTAGATGCCGAGTCGTTTGCGGATTGACTTCTTTACTGGACATGTCTGTAAACGAGGTCACGTCTGAGGTCTCTCCGATTGTTTCGGACCATTTTGAAACTTTTGGTCGGGTGCGAAACGTGAATCATACCTAGCATTTCAAATTTCGACTTGCTGTTAGGAAGGCAAATGCTTGGAGTTGACCGTCATAGTCTATGACTGTCTTCCAGATTCTCTATGACTCATAGAGAATCTGGAAGACATATTCAACCAAGAAGTGTCTATAATTCTTTGCCTTCACACCCTACTCGTGTATGCTAAGAGGTAACGTGCTACTTTCCACAGACACGTTTACACACGTTTGGGATGGAGGACTTCAGCAGGTAACGTATACTTCTTTCCACCAGGTATAACTTGAAAAAATTCTAGCCTACATATTTTGATGAGGAAAAATGATTGATTGATTGATTTGAGAACAGTTCTGTTCGGATGACTAGATGTAGGATGGTAATTTTCTCCGATGGACACTTTGGCTTGGTGCCTAGAGCACTATATTGCATATTACTGAAAGATATAATGAGCTACATTTTCTCTTTTGAGTTTCTGAATTGTGAAAATAAAAATCTCGAACAACGGATTTGAGCATCACCTGTAGGAGTATTCGAGGAGTCAAAGAGCCTAATTAGTTAACAAGAAAGAATCACATATAGTCAAACATTCCATAAGGTTTATTGAAGGTATCTCACTGGAAATATTAAATATTTTAATTGGACATATATATATTGATGGCACAAGCGAAAGTGAACAATAGATAGATAGCATATCATTACTTGTAAGGGCATATATGTGGATTACCGGTTATCCATTCACGTTGTGAAATAAAATTAGAGAGATTTGCTTGATGGTACCCTTCAGGTTTCGTTTTACCCGATGATTTCCCACGAACGAGTTTTAGAGAGAGTGTAACGAGTCAACCACACTCGCGGACAGAGTGGATTTCGCCGTCCATCACACTCACTTGTTTTGTCATTTTGTATCCAGCCACTTCCCCAGGTCACGAGCATTTCTTTGCTCGTTCGGAGATTTTTTGGTTACAAAAGGAGGGTGCAGGCGGGAGACAACGGAGAATTGAAGCACAACAAATTGCACTTTGGGCAAAATCAAAAATTGATTTTGCCCGAATCAATTTTTGTCCCCGTGATAATCCACCAGAAATTATAATCAAGGATTGATCTCTTGATTGTAATCCCCGTATTGTAATTATTAATCATAGTTACAAGAATTATGGCCGACGGCACACAATCGTTGGAGTCCTATAGAGTAAAATTAAACATGAGGGGTCACATCAAGCAAATTACTATCCTCAGTAATCCCATCAAGCAAATCTCTCGATAAAATTATAAGTTAAACTATTTTGTTAAGTAATTCTTAAACAAGGTATTTATTTTTAGATTGGGAACTCTTAACACTATACAATATAATGTGCAAATAAAAGTAATTATTTTTACTAATATCATATTTAACTAGAATCTAAACATAGATTGTAGTTTGAAAACATGTAGAATTTAGATATTGAAAATATAATATAACATATATCTTTTCATATTTTTTTTAATGATTTTGAATTATTCATATATTATATGATTTATTTAATAAAACAATTTTAAAATACAAAAAAAGTGGTTCATTCAATTCTTGAATTTAAACATAAATTTAGATAAATTCTTTTCATATATTATATCATAGATAAACAAAGTAAAATAATTAATACTCAAACATATCTTTCAAAAAATTCAGATCATACAAATTATGAAAACGATATTCTTAATATAAATCTAAATAAAATATTAATTATGTAAGTATTAGATGTATCAGATTTAATCGTAACATACGATATTATTTATTGAAAATAAATTTTTTATGTGAAAGCATATAAAAATTTTATTTTTATTTTTTCCTAAAAAGCCTACAATGAGACATTGTCAAGTAAAGGTTTTTTCTTGTCATAATGTAGATTCTTTTGAATTCGCTGTAAAATTTTTAAAAATAAAAACTTGGACTTTAGAATATATAATCATGATCTAATTTTTTTTGAAAATCGAAATGAATATGGAATAATAATGATAATATGAATATAAACAATTATATTTTTAAAATTTATTTATTATCAGAATCTGTTGTATACATTGATATGATTAAGAATTTTAAAATATTAATTTCATGTAACACATAATAAAATCTTTAAAATTAATCACTTAAAAAAATCTGCTGTTCAATCTTTCTTACAAATAGAGCATGTATTTAAAATTAGCCTAGAAGTAATGTATTCTAGGTTTATTGTTATATTTTTAATATTTTGATATTCAAATCATCATTATTGATAATTGTCAATTTTAACATATGAAAATAACGATTTTTTTGGTGAAGTTGTAGAAGTGTAAAACATGATTACATACTTGATTTAGTTATGTGATAATTTGAGGTAAAATAATTTAAAAAATAGAAAATTTTAATTATTATATTGAATTATGTTTTTGTAACAAAGTTTTGAAATTTGATATGATATTCTAATTCGAAGATTCAAAAATTGTACTAATGTGAAAGTGATTTTTGTTGTCATTTTTACAAAACTATAATGTCTAAGTTTTTGTACTACATAGTTTATTTTCAAATCTTTGTTCCCCTCATCCATAAATTAATTGATTGATTTAATTTCTAAATGGTATGATAGAATCAAAATGGATAGATTTATGAAATAAAATTCACAATTTCAATAGATAATAAATAGTTAGCTATAGTTAATATGTTTTGCATATATTTGTACTTCTGTTCTCAACTTAGTTTGAAAATAAACGGTTTACATGATCATTGATTTGAATGTCAAACAAAAATTATAATATATTACATTCGGATGAAGTTAAATATATTTTGACAAAAAATTGAACATTATATTTGTTGCAGTGACACAATGTATAAAAAATAAAATAATAATTTTTTTATAGTGATGATTGATATACAGTATCTGGCACACATTCAAATCACTTTTATAATGTATCTTGATGAAAAATATATAGATATATATTTTGAAAATTTGAAAAAACTTTAATTATGTATGATATTATAAAATATCATTATCACTAAATGCTCTTGGGACATATGCTCAACGGATACGCCTTGCCAGGCGTATCCGTTAGGGTCTTACAATTGTGCCTTCGAAGTCATCTGGCCACCTATAGTAAGTAAGAATCTTTTCTGTTCACGGTATGTACAAACACGTCATTGACTTCCGAACCTTGGGATGTCAGGGGGTGTGATTACTTGAGTGTTTTACAGAGCACCGAAACCCTAGAGTTATTAGCGTGGAGTTGCTGGCCGTAAAGCCCATTACCTTGGCCTACTTCCAAGTCCGATGCGTCTGCAGTATATTCACATCTGTACGTACCCACACGAGTTATTGTTACTTTAAGTAAGTGTTTTATTTACACAGGTCTGCTGTTTGTCGCATCATTTTCTCGTCGAATCTGCGAACACAATCAACACCCATAATGTGGGCATTGGATTTTATTTTAGTATCTAAAAGAAATATATATTTAAGAATAAAAGTTTTATCAATGATTAAAATAATTTCACATCACATGAATGGTTTGAAACAATTCGTCTTTTTTTTCAAAATGAAAACTTCAAGATTTATACAACTTAAAAACGTTTAAGTCATTAATAGCAACATATTTCACTTAATGAATCGTATTATTTTTAATTAATTGAGGGTATATATTCCTGACCAGACAAATAACAAATTGTATGAAATTTTTGTTGTTTCACCGGTGAAGTTCTTCACTTCTTAATACAAAACCAAAAAACTATGCAATTTTTTTTATCTAGTTAATTTCTACAAATGCTAATATGATTATATCTCACATGAACTTACACAAATTTAATTCTATTATAATTGATATTAAACAATTCAACATGATGTTAACTTTTATTGTAAAACATTAAAATAATTTAAACAATTACACTTTATTCAAATTTTTATTTACCAAATTTTAAAATCGATACAATCATCAGAATGTCTGAAGTGTATTTATTGATAATTTACAAAAATTTTCCCGCGGATCATTGACAAAATCAAATTGTCATCGGCACTAAAGACCAGCGAGGTTCACGTACACAATTGCAAATTGTGGTCTGCAGTCCGCCAACGCATGCCTCTAAACATCAGTGTTACACGGTACGTAGCCTGAGATTGCTGTGTCACAGGTTGGGCAAGCTTTATCGTTCTGTATCAACTCCTTCACGCACCGTACACAGCTCTGCATGTGCGTGCACGGTAAAATCACGGTATCTCTGGAGTTTATGACACAAATGCGGCACAGGTCGCCCATCGTAGCGTTATCGAGCCGTTTGGTGACCATGTTCATCTCCTTCCTCAGTTTCCTCTCTCGATCCATGCAAGCTCGATTAGCCTCCCGGAGTGACTCAGTTTCCTTCAGAAGCGTCGCAGCGATTTCCGCATCAGCTTCAGATTTCTCTTGCTGCAGTCTCAATTCCTTCTTGTAATATTCAACCTGTCCTTCGCGGGCCATCTCCTCATGCTTCGATTTCGCATCTTCGATTTGCGACTGTAAAGTTGCAATCTCTGCATTCAAGCTCTTTTGCAGATTGTGCTTCTCTGTGAACAGAAGATCATTCTCTTCTTGCAGCTCTCTTTTCACTGAAAGCCAACGAATCTTGTCTTCCTGCAAACTCTCCTTCTCTTTACAAACGGATAACAACTTCTCTTCAGCCGCCTTTAGATCGAGAGAAGTTTGATGTATCATCGCTCTGGCGGCCTCTAGTTCTGAGCGATGCTGATCATCATCTTCTGACTTCCTCATCTCCAAGTAGCGAATATTACTAACCAACTTAGCTTGCTTCGCCACTAAGTTCTGTTCCCTGGCTTGCATTGCCATCTCGCAACCACGAAAGCCGGCAAGTTCCTTCTCTGCAGCTTCGTAAGCTGCCCTTTGTCTCCGTAATGTTTCTAGCTCATTCCTTTCAGCCTTCGACATCCTCTGATGCTTACGCAAATCAGCAATCTCCTTTGCTGAGATTTCTCTCTCCTTCCGTAACGCAGAGAGCTCTTCTGAGACAGCATCATACGCAGCCTCCTGTTCTCGCAATTTCGCAAGCTCTTCAGTTGTCGTATCAAGGATTGCCTTTTGCCTCCTCAGTGACTGAAGGTCATCGAGTTCAAACTGTTTCTTCTCTAAGGGTTTCATATCTTCAAACATTCCCTGTTTGCAACAAGCTCTTGTAAGCTACTGATATATGGATGTGACTGCCTGTGTTGCATCTCCAAAGGCAGCATATAAATTGCGCAACGTGCACTGCTTGCTCTAGTAACGAGCTTCAAATTCTCACAATCATCGTATATCACTTCACTTACCTTCCGCTTCCGCAGCTCCAAACGCTCCTTCTCTGCAGCTTCGAACATTTGCTTCTGAATTCGCAATTCCGCAAGCTCCGCCTCCGCCTCTTCGAACATTCTCTTCCGACTGCGAAGTTCCTCAAGCTCAATGCTTTCAACTTCGTATACTTCCTTCTGACTGCGTATAACGGCTAGCTCTTTCATCGCAACTTCATATATCGTCTTCTGACTGCGTAACCCCGCGAGTTCAAGTTTCTCGGCTTCGAATGTCTCCCTCCACTTCTGCAATTCGGCAAGTTCGGCGTCCGCAAATGCCTTCTGGATCCGCAAGGTCTCAAGTTCTAAGATTGCCTGGTCTTTCTTCCCAATCTCCAAATCTACTTGAAGTTCATAAACATCTAACTGGGAGCGCACTCGTGTAAGCTCCTCCTTCAACTGGTTCCTTTGCATGCGCAATAATTCAAGCGAATTCTCCTCTTCTTTCTCCTTGTCAAAGTACTGGGTCCTTTGAAGCTTGGAGGAAAGAGGTGCAGCGAGGCGATCTTCCAATTCTCCAACCTTCGTCTTCAGTTCTTCAATCCTTGTCACGTAAAAGTCGAGCAGGAAGTCTTGCTTCTCATTTCTCTCTTCCAATTCAGCGTTTCTCTTCTCGAGTGCTTGCTTTTCTGAATTGGACTTCCGTTCAAGAATACCTGTATCCGATTCCGTCGGTCCGGCATTTTGAACTTCGCCAGACGTCTTTCCTACAATCTCTTCTTCCCTTCTCTCCAGCTCTCTGTTCCGAGCGCGTAGCTCCTCAAGCTCGGCTCGAAGGGATGTATCCTCAACCGCCGTTATCGTTGTTGGGTTAGGTCCGTCTGAGTTCATGACAGAACTTAGATCGTCTCTAATACAGACTGGGTCAAACTCTTGACATAGCGATGCGATCTCTTCAGCCCCGAAACGAGCTATTAACTTTTGAGACAATCTGTTCCACTTGGCTTTTAAGCTTTCGTCATATTTTCCCTTCGTCACAACGCTGTCCACTGTGTACAATGTGGACCTTCGTTTTCTGGGCACGCTTGATTTTTCCATGGCTCAGTTGAATATTTTGCCCGAAATGATATGAAGCCTCACAAACTATGTCACACCAAACGACTGATACTGGCTAGTGAGATCAAAACGTATTTCGTCCAGTATACTAGTGATGTGCACGTGCACGGAGCTCCAATATTATCGAACTGTTTTGATTGAGAAGATAGCTACTCTATCAACATTCGAATATGATGGCTGGGAAGTCCACGTTGAAATAGTAGAGAAGAACGCGAAATGACGAAACATCCCATCTACTCATCCAATGTTCAGGCAGGGTGATATACACCTTTGCTATGGGTGAATATGTTAACGACCTTCCAACAGCCATCATCCACCTTATTGGACATTTTGGAAACACCGGCTTCCTCCGATATCGCATGACATTGACGGAACTGTGCCTACAACGTTTCCCGTCTGTCCTTCCAATTCGTGTTTGTCATCACGATCCATATGAAAGAACTGCACACTTGGAAAGAAAACGCATACAAAAATTCAGTACATGCTTCAAATACCATAACTACTCATCTCACGTATAAGTAAGTGAAACGAGCGAGGCATTTTCTGGCGGGAAATAGATGCTGCACACACTATAAAACTGGACTTTGTTTAGGGTTCATAGTGTGCTGCACACCCTACAAAACTCCACTCTGTTCTTTCGCACGTGTATATGTGCAGATAATCAAGTATTTAGACATTAGTGCCGGATGTCTGATCAACTACCATACCGGCCCTCATGTCGTTACTTACAGTGCTCCACAAGGAATTCCAGCAAGTGATCGAAAGGAATCTGTCCGGACTTCACTTCGGAGAATTATCATGCAAGTGTGGTCGCCAATCTTGCTCTAGAGATTGAGGTGGTAGATGATGGTTTGCTTGTGTATGGTAGCACATCTTTAGTTTTAAGATTATGTTAGATGGAATTCAAAAATGAAGGAGGAAAAGCCACACCGCAATTTAGGCACAACCCTAAACATGGTTCAGTTTGTACTCATAGATGTCTGTGGAAGACTTTGGCGGCAACAAGGAATGACGAGTCCACTGCGAAGAAGTAGGGTAGTGACCGAAATAAAAACCATCTGTCCGTGATAACAAACCGAGGTGCACAAGCTTCACAGGTACAATGAGTGAACCCAAAGAGTCTGAACAACTGTCATCAATCATCATGCAACCACATCTCTCTATCTCAGTTGGAAAATTCTAAAATGAATCATTCCCGGGAAGAGTTTCATCAAACAAAAACTGATGGCTTCATCTCGAGCGGAAAGATGGTCTTACTCGACACAGGATGCGACCAACATGGCGAGCAACATGGATGGCGTTCATATGTCATGTCTGACGAGCAACATCAATTCTGATACTTCTGCGTCCCATTCCCCAGTAGAGATATCTACGCCCTGAATTGCCATCTGCAAAAATTTGGACAGCACATTACCAAATGTTAGAAAATAAACCCAGTTGAAGGACTCAATTCTGGGTGAAACCGACGTATTCTGCACATCGAAAGAATTGAAAATTGTTACATCTATATTTAAATCCCTTTCCTCCAAGTCCGACGCCTGATCTGGTGAGAGAGTACTAGATTCCTGTCGAATTCATCCATTTACATGCCACATGTTTTGACACTATAATACTGTTACAAATCCCGTGAATACATCATTCAACTGTCAAATGATAGGCAAGAGCTCAGAGCAGAGATTCGAAAGAATGCAGGAGGCTCGAATCTTCAGAGATTAAACTTCCTCACCCAGTGCTCCTCTTTCAATTTGACATTCGAACCCATCTGTAGCGAAAGCGGACGACCCGCTGGTGTTCCTAGTCTTGAATTCATATTCAATTTTGAGGTCACTGTGCAACTGTGCAAGAATGATACCATATCTTTGAGAGGTAGAGTGAACAAGCAACAATGAGCACGGGAGAGATTTTTACAAAGAAACGAACCGTCATGCCTCGATTCGAAGTTGTGTGTGTTGCTCTTGATACCAGATTGAAACTTTGGTGCTGCAAGCTCTTCTTTACTTTACTCTTCGGTGGTAAGCTAATACGGGCGAATGAAAAACGTGAAAATCCGTGAAGGTAATCAACTCAATGAGATCGATTGTAAAATTGAACACCCATGGATATCAAATTAGGAGAACCTACTATATTTGTAAATCTTAGAGTTACATGTTTTAGAGTTATTGGCGCGGAAAGTCAAATAAGCAAATTAAGTACTAATCATTATGGATTTTTAAGAATTCCATGTAAAACTATGTGAACTCATTGTAGATCACCAAATGTCTTTTTAACCATGTTCAAAGATAGATGATAAGATTAGAGATAAATGATATACAATTCATCAAAATATATATGAATTTTGGATAACGTTTGTTTAAATTTTATTAGTTATACTAATTTTTTAATATATTATTTCCAACTATATTCAAACTATAATTTTAATTTATCATCTTTGAAAATATAGGTTTAACTGCAAATTACATATTTGATAAAACAAAATTTATTTCGATTCCAATCAGATTCATATATGTTATTTTAAAAGTTATCTTATTGTTAGATTAAAAACCTCTTAAAAAAATACTAACTTTAAGAGTTGAGATAATGATAGAATTATGTTGAAGTACATAAATTCAAAAATCTAGAAATACTAGACTGCAAAACTCTCTATGATAAAATCAATTTTAGTAGAGTTTCCATTGAGATACTTGTGCATAGTAATATATGCTAGTACACATGACAAAGAGACATTTGATATTCCTTGAGTATAGGAGCTTATTATTTGTCATACCGAAAGTTGATTTAGAGTTTTGTGAATGTTGTATGATGAACAAGCATCATGGTAAATGGTAAATAGATCAACTATTTATGGGATAACTATTTATGTTTGAAATCATAATTTCAAAGAGTTATTTGAATTTGTACATAATGAACTTTCAATATATTCTTCAAAAAATTTATTATACTGTATATAGCATTTATTCATGAATATTCAAAATTTGCATAACTTTATTTTTCAAGCAAAAATTTGAGATGTTTAAAACTTTTAAAGGTTAAAAAACTAAAGTTGGGATAAAATCAACACAATGTGTGAAATATTAACATACAAATAATAACGGAGGTTATACATCTGAGGAATATACTCTCCGTCATTTTTTAAAACAACTGCGAAAAGAAGTGTATTACCCGGAATCTCATCATAATCTATCCTTTACAACACATCATTTATTTTAGAGTTTTAAGTCAATTTCATTTAAATGGTGGAATTTGCTGAATCAATTTGCCTAATTATACAAATTTTAGGCTTTAATCATTTATACCTCAGTGTATTTGATAAATTTCTCAATCTAATAAAATCAACTTTTTTGAACTTGAATTTGGTTGAATTTAAGCTCACACATTTGTTTAAATATATTCATTTGAATTTTTGTATTGTATGACTTAGTTATCCATACTCAAATAAAATAGAAACTATGATTTCATTCTCATTGTGATTAATTTCAAAGGTTTTTCTACTTTTATCATGATTATAAGACTACACATAAATGTTTGAACACACAATAGGATTTAAATGGTACACACAGTACCATTTAACACAATGTTTCAAGTATGCTTTAGAATAATTTTTTAATTGTTTCTTGATGAAACAAAAGTTTAACTTTGTCATGTAACAAAGCGTTCAAGTTATTGCAGTTCAATAATTTTTAAGTTTTCATTTATGAAAGTTGCTTAAGAATTTTTTTCTAATAATTTCTATCCCAAAATATTATCATTTTGAGTAATATGTAATTCATTTTCACTAGTAAGAATCTTTCTAAGTATCATTGATTCATGTAGAAAAGTTATATGAAAATGTGATGTTGACGTCATATGTAGAGGTGTCAACATGTCATTAGACACTTTATTGATTTTAGATTTCTTGTTTGCCGCTAATTTAAATTTTAGACTTAGTCCAACCAATTATTAAAAATTGCAATTCAAGTTTTTATTGATTTTAAATTTGCTAGATAATGCAATTATGAGTGAACATCATAATTTTGATTGCTATGATGCTAACCCATAATTTATTTTATTTTTTATAAAACTTATGATGTTCAGTCATATTCTTTGAGTTATTTTTTTAATCAAGAATTTATTATTTAAATTTAATCATGATAAAAATAGGTAAAATCGAATTTTTTTATTTGGTCTATCAATACTACACTCGTACTATAATTTATGTTACAACCAAATTTTATCATACATCCACGAAATAATATTTTCATGAATATACTAATGATATGAAGTATGTTAAGCTATGAATGTTCGTAGCTTGTGAGGTTATTTACTCAAAATCACCTCACAAATAGGTGGCATTTGTCCATCATCTAATATTTATATTGTTGATGAAAAGATTGACTTTTCTGGATTTAATGATCTGTCACAAAATCCATTACAGAAATAGGATTTTCTTGAAGAAGGAGAATTGAATTTAACAAATGATTTTACAAGAATTGCTTACTAAGACATTCATTAATTGAATAGTAAGTTTCAATGAAAGATTATGTGTTTATTTGATCTATAATCACTGATTCATAATAAGACATAAAAAATTATGAAAATTTTAAAAATTCAACTAATGAATGGATATACAATATAAAGAACAATCCATAAAGTAATGAAAATGTGCTTGCATCTTTTCTTTTGTAAGAAATCATTCTACATTCAAGTTTCAAGAGATCATAAAATATTCTCCGTACAAGTTATGGCAGTGGTACGATACAAAGTGGCACTCTGTAAGATCCGCAATGCTGTTGGGTTGTTCTGACACCTCTCTAAACTGCCTCTCTACCAAGACTGTGCATCTACATCGCCCGCCCCAAAGCTCCATACTCGCAGACTGCTCGTAGGAATAGATTAATACCTTTTTCCATTTAATTCTCAATATAGAATCAGCTCCCAGATTTCAACCCACGGTATCCTCCGACAATTACTGCCTATGTATCCACAAGTATCGATCATATCGATCTGAGTACTGTATTATAGCACTCATTGGAACTTACTCAGAGGAGATTAGCATTGACATGAATATGACCAGAGTCCTTCCCGAAGTCGAGAAGGTTCCATGTAAATGTAAAGTAAAAATTTATTTCCGTTACGTAATGATCCTTCCGGTTGGTTTTATTTTGGAACGAATGTGCTTGAAGTTTGAAACCTTCAAGCACGGAGAGTATCCACCATAGTCAATACTATAACTTAGTACAGTGGAGCAAGTTCTGGTTTCAGAGATAGAATGTTGACAAGTAGTGATGAGTTAGTAGAACTCCATTCTGCCCAACTGTATTATGCAAGCTACTTCACTTGAACTCGTTCTTCGCTGCTCGTTTCCGTTGAGAACATGGATGTGATGAGAAACTAGCAGGAAAATAGTGAGCTCTGCCTTAGTTAAAACCCAAACACAAGGGCAACGCCCAGTCTTAACTTCATCCGTGAGACGTTAAGGAAGCCCTCAGAAAAAGCTTCATAAGGAGCATACAGCATTCACGTTCGCAACAATTTGCATCCAAATTTTCGAGTTCACACACACAGATATGACTCTGTTTATGGGAATCAGGACATTTAGAATCCCTTCAGCGGCGTATCGGAGATCCAGAGATGCTCCAGATAATAGCACAAGAAATTGCACGAGGATTTCGAAAACCCGAGACTGGCCGAAGTAGCCAGTTATATACAAAAAATCATCAATTGGTCCTAAGTCTAACTATCTGAACGGCGCCTGTTGATCCTTCCAATATAAAGATTCGTGGTGCACGCTCGCTCCGTTCACAGCTCCCGTCTTGGACGCCATCATGCGACGTTGGCAGTTAACGACCTGCTGGGACGTGAGTGGAGCAGGTCCGAATGGAGGATTTAATCCTCCATTCGGAGGATAAAATGGAGGATAAAATCCACCACTGATGTGAAGAGGGCCTCTTCAGATCAGTGATCATGATCAGTGTGTCATGATCCACTCGGAAGGTAAAGCGCCGAGTGTAGACGGAGAGATCACAGGCGACTGGAATCCCTTCCGAAGAAAAGTCGTTTGGTCCAGTCATAGACTACGAGAGCCCTGGTTCTCCAGCTAACTTGCCTACTAGCATACACCGAGTACCAGAGCCATTGGGTGCTCCTGCCGATGGAGATCCAGTCTCCGGGCAGCTCGGCTGCGGCCTGCTCGCCTCCCAGAGGAGCAAACTGCCCCAGATGCTTGTACATGAAGGGCTTGAATCGATGGTGGCCCTCTCCTCTCACACGGACCGGCCCTTGGGCTGCTTCGGAGTCGAATGGCAGGTGATTGAAGCAGTTGGCCAAGTACGATCCCTGTTGTGCAGCCACCTGCGCGGTGGCAGGAAACCTCGTCATCTGAGCATCGATCTGCTCCACGGCCATCTTGAACCGATCGAGATCCACTTCCACGGCATCGGTCTGATCGGTGGCCTCGGCGCGCTTAATGAGAGTTTTCAAATCCCTGAGCTGCTTCTTCTTCATGAAAGAGTCGATCTGAGGGTACCTCTCTCTTACGAGCTCCATCAGCTCCTCGAACTCGTCCACCGTCACTTTCCCGGACTTATCTGCATCCGCCAGCTTGAATAAAAGGTTTATGTCCTCCATGATCTTGCGCTGCTCGACCGTGGCGCAATCCCCCATGGCGTAAGTGGCATCGCACCCCTTGACTCGAAGCCATTCATCAGTGGCGAGCACCTTCCTGTCGCCCTGCCCTACCTGCACCATGAAATCCTTCACCAGAGGCCGGGTCCCGAGCCCAGTGGACCACACGGCGAGGCCGAATGGCAGGGCGACCTCCTGATTCGCCTTCTTGTCGAAGTAGACGATCTCGCCCTCGTTCACCTTCTTCACCTGGCAATTGGTCTTCAGGAACATGCCGTCCCGACGAAACTTGCTCTCGGCGTACTCCTGAATGCGGGCGTCGAAGGTGTTGAGGATGTGGTCCACGGCCTCGATCACCGTCACCGAGACGTGCTCCTGCACGGACGGGTAGAGCTTCGCCATATCCTGGTGCACCAAATCGTGAAGCTCCGCTGCGAATTCTACACCGGTTGGGCCGCCGCCCACGATCACGAAGCTGAGCATCTTCCTCCTGTCGTCGTCCGTCAGGTGAGGCAGGCACGCCGTCTCGAAGCAGTCCACGACCGTGTCTCGGATCCTCGTGGCGTCCTCGAGTTCCTTGAGGAAGTGGCAGTACTTCTCGACCCCGGGGACGCCGAAGGTGTTGGACAGCGCCCCCACCGCCACCACCAGGAAGTCGTAGTCGACGATGAACTCCTCCTTGCCCTTCACCGTGACGTCCGAGATGTCTCGGCACAGGAGGCGCTTGTTGTTGTGGTCGATTTCCAGGCACTTGGCCTCGAAGAGCCTCACTTCCTTCTTCTTGTTCTTGCACATTCTCCGGATCGGCTCCGCGATGCTCCGCGCTTCCACCGTCCCGTTCGTCACGCTGGGAATCAGCGGCGTGAAGACGAAGTAGTTCCGCGGGGAGATCACCTGCACATCGTAGAGGTCCGTGTTGATGTCCTTGAGGAAGCTCATGCCCGCCCAACCCGTGCCCAGCAGCACGACCTTCTTCTTCGGGGGCAATCCTTCCGAGTCCCTACGATCGACGCGTGAATCCGAGACGACCACGTACAGACCTCCCAAACATCCCGTGGCAGCTACCGCGATGAGAATTGACCGATAAGAATCGCCCCTCCGCCGGAAGTAGCTCGATCGCATCACAGCCTTCTGCTGTCGACCAATTTCCTCCCCGCTCGCCCGCGATGAATACGATCTTCGAGCCCATCGGCCTCCAACTGCAAGTGCACTTTCGTGGTGTCGAGAGGTGAGATGTGGGGATGGGTTGGAAGTGTGAGATGCTTGATCCCACGCTCGACGCAAAAAGGTGGCCGCAGTCCGACCGAACCGCATGGTGAGAGGATGCTCGAATTGTCGGCCGAATCACGCGAACAGGTTCAAAATCCAAAGCCCGCTATCCTAGAAACACCCGACTGCAGCAGGCACAGGGGAAACGCATTGCTGCGATTCATGCACAAAGCTGCTGCCTCCTTCGTGTTCCAAAATCTTGTCGCAGAAGATCGAATTTTCGCTGAACGTGATTCAGCTGCTGTCCGATCGACCCTCGATGAAGAACGAGGGGACATCAAATGATGACCAACAGCATCCCAACAACTACGACAGCGATTCTGCTTGTGCCTTGGGACGCAAATTATGCCTTGTGTCGGGATATTGCACTAGTGAAGGGAATGTCGAACCAGGACATAGAGATGGAGCTCTCGAATGTAGGTCTGTGAAGGTGAATCTTCGATCTCGACTTCTCGGATTTCATGCCATAATACGAGGAATTCCGACGGTCGAAACCGACGTTCAGGTCACCCCAGGGCATGCCATGTACTGACAGTTGTCACAACACTGACTGCTCGACCTTTCCGACAAGACTGTGGAAACGGAAAGAGGGATTGGTCAAGAGACCGGGGCAGAAAGGGTCGATTGGGCCTGCATGCGGGACAAGCGGCGGGCGGAATTTGCCACTGCTCAGCTGCCTTTGAGGCTTCTCACCTGCGTGTCACAGATGAGGCGGCCACACGCGTGTGCACATTCACTCGCATCAATATGCTCAAACTGCCCCCTGCTCAGAGCTCAGGCGGTTTGCTCTGCTAACCTTGTCAGCTCTCGACGACTTCGTCCACTGCCCATGCGTGTGTCGACTCACAAGTTGTTCTGTAGATCAAAACACCTTACTGTACTACATTGCAATCTTAAAGTCATAAAAATGTCACTAAAATTTGGTGCAAATTTCAAACATATTTCAAAATAATTTGCATGAATTTCTTTCATGAAAAAATCCAGCATATATATATACAAATATTATTAAATATATATTATATTTATTCTATGCAATACCATGTGTAAAATATCATTTTTGGAAAATATATTTTTAAATGTATCATCTTAACAACTTTGATGTGATTGATAATAATTTATATCTACAAATCTGGTTCATGTCATTTTCAAATTAAAAAAAAAATTATACCACATCTTTCATAGATATATCATTGTATTTTCCACATATCTTCAATACAAAAAGTGATGACTGAATGATACATAAAATCTATTCATATTTTATATTTGAATTAGGTATTTTCATTAACTCTGCAACTGTATCAAAATATCCCCTTCTGACTATTAATTTGGTTTAACTCCTTAACTCCTAGTTCGATTCAATAAAGAGTTGATCATAATGGTAAATCATCAAATCTTGATTATTATACTTAAACACTATTGTACTTAAACAGTATCACATGTAATTATTGAAACACTTGACACAAGATGCAATCTAGTAAGTTTATCTGGATAATATATCTATCTAAATAACTTTCTATTAAAAAAATTTACATATATAATTTGATTTTCTCATTTACAAACGTGAAATGAATTACTATTGAAAAAAACTATTGATATAAAAATTTCAGTAAAACAAATAACACATACACAGGCATGGTTATTTTAAGAGACTGTGTAAGGCCACGCCTAAATTACCTAAACTTCAGCGTCTAAATAAATGTGTCAGAATCGACCAATGGGGAAGGGGCGTGGGTGCGGCAACAAATTGGGAAAGAGTAGTCTAGTCTTTTGAATCTTCGACTCAAAAGTCAAGAGTGATTTATAATTTCATCAATTTGTTTTGTTTTGCACACTTATTACGGTGTGTGTCATGTCCGTATACTTCATGAATAGTTAGTATCGGAATAGGGTCAATTGGTTCATAGAATTAGGTAGTAGGTGTGTAAATGACAGATAAAGTGACAAAAACTACAAGCAGAGCTGTTAATCTGCTACATAAGCACTTGTGAGAGCTTGTTGCTATGTGTAACTAAGGGCATTGCATCATGATCAAGATGAAACCATTGATAATCGTGTTGTTGTAAATTGTTGTAAGAGTTGGAAGATGAGATTCCAAACATTGCACATCCGATCCAAACACAAATCACACATCCGATAATTGCATTATTGACATGTAATCAAAAGAATACTACTACTATTCTAAGCAGTTTGAAAGCTTAAGTTTACTCTTTGCCAATCCATATGTCCAGCCTTTTTCCCATGTATCAATTCCGGGACCTCAAACCTCCAAAAGTGGGGGAATTCCCCTTCGAATATTAGCCTGAGCCTACCTTCGCAGACCACGCCGAAAAGTGCAAAGAAAAACCAAATAAACCTCGCCCGCCAATAACATTTAACTATTATTCACAATATTTCAAAATATTGAAGTGTGCCCAAGACGTTGAAAGATCATATCTCCATCCCTTAACGTAACGCAGTTCGCCCTCTGAAGCTAAACCCTAAACTAACTAAACCCTAAACTCCCATGCTCTGTACTCCAGCATCCAACCCACGCCTCGAAGCCGGTCAAGGTCTTGCAGATTCGAAAGGTGTGTGAGCTCGGGGTACCTCGACAGAACCTGCAGCGGAGAAAATGGGCGCCCGCACGGAGCACTGAAGCCGAAAGGCCGGCGGCCACTTGCTTCGCCACAGCAGATGTACGGGAAAACAGAGTTCCTGGCCAGCAGTTCGCCGAAAGGCCGGCGGCCACTAACTTCGCCACAGCAGATGTACGGGAAAACAGTGTTCATGGCCAGCAGTTCGCGATCTTCCGTGCTCTGTCCTCCCGCCTCCAGCCTCAAAGCCGGCGAAGGTTATGCAAAGAACTCTACTGCAGGAGTTATTCAGTTCAGCAAACAACTCAATAAGAAATTTAAAATCTTAAATAAGATTATAAATTTCTAATTGAGTTGTTTGGTGGACACCAAGTGATTGTGGCCCAATGGTAAGGGTCACACATTGGGACTTGGGGGTCCTGGGTTCAAGTCCGGGTTACCTCCGACTATCATCCGCCCCATATATTACATCCCTGGTGTCAAGGTGATATTAGTGAAGTAATATGTGGGGAGTCGGATGAAGTCGCAGGAGCTGCGGACTTCTCCCCCCATTCCTATCTTTTTCGCAAAATGTAAATATTGGATTACAATTTTCAGTCTAAGAGGCTCAATCCGCGAACCTATTTGCGGAATTACGATAATCACTCCTGAATATCTATAGTAGACAAGACAATCATCCGAAACGAAAACATTGCGAAATCACACTGACCTGGCTCATCGACAGCTGGGGCATGGTGTTTGCGATAATACTCACGACCTTTTGCAGAACGACTGCCGATACCGAACTTCGCATCACGCGGATATCCAACCATAACAGCCTTTGGAAAGACAACCACTTCAACACCCAGCGAAGCAGCTTCCGCCATAAAACGCTCCGCTTTATCTGTAGGAAAAACAAACCTTGAGTTACAATTTTGGCACGAGAGACTTATTATCGTTCGTACTCGAAGTTTGTTAATGGAACCTTCATCGTGGCATATCTCAAAACCTGCTATAGCCTCTTTAGGTCACGATACAAGGGCGGATTAGAACTAGGCGCAGCAGGAGTGTAGTAAGGACGGTTCATGCTTGCACTACGCTCACGCGCTTCGGGTCTGACACTGGACTCATCTCCACTTCGATAGCGAGCATCTACCAGTGCTCCACTACTGGCTCGAGCTGATAATACATTTCCAACTCAATTGGATAGTCAGATCAATCTCTGATCTCGTCTGAATACTCGCCTTGAGCCCAGCGAGCAAGAGACAATTTCAACTCCCATGTGCTAAAAACTATGCATGAGGTGTACGGTCCCTCCGTAGGCGCAAAACACCAATACCCACTCCGGGCCGCGTAACAACTCTAACTTCTCGAAAATCGGCTGTCAGGCTACAAACAAAAGATAATCCGGAGCCTTCTCGCATAGCAGAAGGCTTAATGGGCACTGGACTCAGACCAGTATCTAGCCTAGAGACTCAGTTGCCTGCTTCCTCAGTTTGTCACCTTCGAGGTAACGATCTCGTTCACATGTCCACCTTCGACTCACAAGGGAGGATGGACAAACAACTAAAGCCCGGTTGGGATAACACTCACTGCAACTATCCACAAAATCTTTAAGTAGCCGAACCTACTTAGGACATCACACTTACAAGTCGCCTCCGGTCCGACGCAGAACCAAGGCCTGCAACAGCATCTGATCACGCTGCTGTACGCGAGCACTTTGGTTCGCAGAGTTGGCCACTGTCAGCCTCCTCCCCGTCTCCATCATAAACACGGCTGCTGCCAAAATCGCAATAGCAGATGTACGAGAAAACAGTGTTCCTGGCCAGCAGTTCGCCATCTCCCGTGCTCTGTCCTCCAGCATCCAACCCACGCCTCGAAGCCGGCCACGGGTCTTGCAGATTCGAAAGGTGAGTGAGCTCGGGGTAACTCGACAGGACCTGCAGCGGAGGAAACGAGCGCCCGCATGGAGCAATGAAGCCCAAAGGCCGGCGGCCACTTGCTTCCCCTCTAGGTCACGAGCGACGCAAAGCTACCAACGGCACTTCGACTGGAAGCAACGATACAGGAGCACTCTGCCTCTGAACAAACTGAACATTAGGAGCCGGAAGAGAATACCTACGCTCTCAGTCAAGGACTGTCTGCCTTTGTTTTATTCCAGTGCACATGCTACTCACCACATTTTCAGCTCGGGCTACCGCCTCAGATTGCAAGTGCATCGCCATTTCTTCGGTTCTACAGCTGGGCAGCCATATTTGCCGCATCACTGTTTCATTGACAAAGCTGAAAGATGGTACTGAGGGGATTTGAGTCGACGACGTGATACATGTGATACCCACCCAAAAAAAAATCATGGGATCTATAAAATAAGACTCCAATCGTAAGTCATTTCTTCAAGGCAATTGCAGATGCATGTTTATAATTCCATTTTTTTTATAAGCACATGAGAACGTTTTGATCTTGAAAAGGAGAAGGGACCTGGTTTTTAGCTTGTATGCATGGACTCACGATCAACTACATCCTTTCATTCAATGAAAGTCAGCAAGGCATTCTCATAATTGCTGCATTCTGACCTGTAAGTTTTCAAGGTGGATCTTTTCAATTTTTCGAATCTGCATATTCTCTAACACCTTGCCAGGATTAAGTTTTTCTGTATAAGTTTCTCATACGTAAAATCGATAGACACTCGCCGTCTATGTCTGCTTTGTCACTTGACAAGTACTGTGCAAAAAATGTGTCTCCTGTTCATCTTGTTTAATAATGACACATATCACTAAAAAAAATTCAAACATTTAGATGTCTTGATCGTGAAGACATGTATGTTCTAAGCCTATGATAGGAATCGGGTCAATTTACTACGCCTCTTCGTAAGTCTCATAGGTGAGAAATATCGGTTTTTGCTCATTTTCGACTTAGATATACAATTAAACTTCGTAAGTCAACCGCCTAATTGATTATCTTCTCCTCTTTGAGCGTTGCAAAATAACCGAACATTCTTTGTCTTCTGGTGCTAAGGCATGCAAACCTGCGATGATTTTGCTCTAAATTATCCTTGAACTCACTTTCTTTCACTATTTTCCTTTCATATTTTCTTTTATTTCGTCGCATGTTCTCACGATATCCGTGTTCGGCCAACCGACTTGCTCATAATAAGAGCACCGTCATTGACTGATATAACAAGTTCTTGTGATTCTTCTAATACTCAATCAAAATAATTACCCATCAAAGAAATGCATGTAAAGAAATTATCCATCCGGTCTGTGACTTACCCCAGCCTCCGGCTCGCCCTCCCTGCCCGCCTCCCTGGTCCATCGCCGAGCCCTCTGGACCTGTACCTACGCATGGGTGCGGGTGGTATTAGCAAAGAAAGAAGACCGACATTGGATGCCCATACCAATGGATTTGACATTATTGTTCATGGTGGTTAGTGTTTTCATCCGGGTATCGGTTATAAGTTATAACCGATACCCGGAGAGTTATAACTTATAACTCTCAAATGAATTCGTACCATGTCCATTAATTTTGTAATTCATGTCATTAATACTGCTTGAGACCTGGATTCTAACATGTGACTAGCATTGAATTCACGAATTGTAATGATATTGCACAAACTAAATTTGAACTTGTAAATCTTCTAGATATTGGTTTTTGATTTTTTATATTTAAATGTACTATTGAAACATATATATCTAGTTTACTAAATGTCAATTTTTTTAGAAATAAATAAAGAATACATTGACGAATAACATGATTAAAAATTATACCATTTTGAATAGCATGGGTGAACATAGTTCTCCCTTAAAGGTTTCGTGAGAATATAAATTCGAAGTTAAATGTTGGGGTCCATGCTACACTTCACATACGAAGAGTTACAACTGCGAGATCAAACTGAGAAAGGTAAAACATGGACACGTGAACTCAACAAGCATCAACTTCGACATCTAATGAAGAGATAAAAGCTCGCCCGTTTGATTTCTTACATAGTGTATCACATAAATCCGAACAAATGGCTTCGAAACCATAGCAGGAGCAAAAGGATCGAAATTCACCGGTTCAACTTAGTTAACCATACTGCTATGGAAATCATGACGGTGATCTTGAAAGTAAAACGGAAAAGTGTTTTCCTCCTTCTTCTCACAAAAATTTCAAAGTGTTGTCGAAGGCACTGGTACACTGTGAAGACTAAGATCTTTTTCATCTCATACTAATGTTGTTAGTATTATAGTTGATGATGAATTCTATTATATGATACTAATTGATTTTTTAGTACACTAAATGATTATAGTCTGATGGAAAGATGGTTGTAGTCCAATGGTTGAATGATAGTTGTACTCTTATCAAACCCGGTATACATCTGGTGATCATTCTCTGATGATATTGCAATTTCATGACATCAGGCAAGCGATATCCTAACAATCACAAACATCACCTCATTTCATTTATTTGTTGCAAAATGCAAAAGATTGGATCTATATTTTCAAATATTAGATTGAAGTGCTAGGTAAATTCTGAGTAATCTTTACAAGAACCTGGTCTACTGTGTGAATATCCCTAAGCTATTAATAATTATAAAAATATGACTCAATATCATATACAATTGAAGAGAATCTTAGCAAAATCATAAGAACATAAATTGAAGGGCACATTCAAAGCTATTAAAAGATATAATTTCTATTACACATTGCTTAAGCAAAATGGTAATATTACCTATCATAACATCAAATGTGATTTAGGAGTCATACACAATAAAATCTAAATAAACTAACGGTTCATGTATGTATATTTAAGATGAAACACATGATTGATATGGATTTGACATTCTTTTGCAATATGAGCTTGAAAAACTTATTTAGATAAAATTAACTTAAGATTTTGTGAGCATTGTGTTATACATCATATTAGTTTATTGCTATTGGAAATAATATATTCAACCAAAAAAATTAGTTGGTACATAATGACATGTGAAAATATTTCATAAAGCAAGTTGAACTAAGAACAAGTTGATCTTGATGTTATTCAATATCTCTAATGAAATATTGTCATCTCAACACATAAACACAAAATTTTATAGGATTTAAGTAGTTCAATTGCATGTTTACATATTATCATACTGACTAGATTAATAATAACTAGTTAATGTTGATGAAAAAAAATGTTTAGAATAATGATCATTGATTTTTTGATAAAGTAAGATGAAAATATATGTTGTGAATATCAGGTTTTTTTTCATCAACGAAAAGTATGTTGTGTGATTTACATTTGGAGTTCATGAGAATTTGCATGATTTACTATGTTCAAATTAAATTAAATGTAGATAAATATGTAAACCATATATTGTTTGAATAAATTTATATCAATAGATGTGTAGTTAATATTTTTCAAATATGATTAACAAAAATTGTAATGAATATTTTACTAAGAAATTTGTAATAAAGTTGTTATCAACGAATATTATGTTATGTGATTCACATTAAAAACTCATGTATAAGATAATTTGCAAAAAACGAGTAATGAAAAAATTGTGTAGCTGAATATGTTAAGTCAATTCTATTTAGATGAACATCATCAAGATTTATGATGAATTTGAAGGTAAATTTCATTATCATGAATTTGTGAAAGCAATATTTTTTTCTTAAACATCAAATAAATTAATCAATCAAATTACAAATAACGTTTTCATGATTTTTTTAAAATTCATGTTTATGATAACTTCATTATGTCAATAATCAATTGTTCAATAATCAAAACGCTGTCAAAAGTTTTAATAAATTTGTATTATGACCATATGTACATAAGACGATCCAGTCCATTCCAAAGTTTGAGTGTAGAGAATAATCACAAATTTTTCATATTTGTATTCATCATATTATTTTCAATTTTTTGTATTTAAATAATTTATCTAGATAGACAAAGTTGTAGCAGCTTATAAAAATATAAATTAACTTCAATTTGATTAAATCTTATATTTTTCTAGTTTGAAAATAACTTCAATTCTAACCAAAAATTTTCTCAACTTTCATTAAGACTGATTAGCATGGATATCACATTTTGTAGTAATAGCTTATCATCACTTTTAATCAAAATATAGCAAGAAATTATCATTATTTACTTTGAAGTTTCTTTAAATAGTTTTGATCATCACTATAATAAATTTTATAATAGTGGTTTATTGACACTTTGTATTGTTTTGTAGCATTATTTCAATTTGAAATATTATTAACACTTTGAATTTATGTAGAAAGTGGAGAAGTTAACAAAGACGACCCTAAAAGCTCTTGAAAAATTGAACCATGTTAATGACCATGTGATTCATGTTACATCTAGAACATGGATGAAACAGTCTTGTTTTTTGACTTGTTTTTTTGCTATACTATTCTTTTGCCAAACGTAAATGTTTCCACGGTTTGAGTAAAAAAAATGCTAAAGACCGCGTAACTATTGTTGTGTGCAACAATGTTACGGGCATAAATTGAATAATAATTATTATACTTGGCAAAGCCAAAAAACCAACGTGTATTGCTAGAAATTTCTAGCCAATTTCATACATACAACAAAAGAGGGCTTGGTTTGATGTTCAAACCTTTTACAAATGGTTCAATGAAATGTTATGACTTTTGTGCAAAAACACTCAGGCCATAAAGTGCTACTAATTTTAGACAACTTGCCCGGCCATTTGAAACAGTTTGAGCGAATCAAAATTTGTGTTATGCTTTTTACTTCTAACATCACGTCTTGAAACGTTCTATGAACATGAAGATAATTGCCGCCATTAAAAAACAACACAACTATTTACTCATAAAAAACATCATTGCTTATCATGTGACTCTTGAAGCCATAAAGGAGCAATTGGTATTTGTTGCTTCAAAAATGAAATGTGGTGCTCCAAAAATTGTTTACGACAAGCTGTCTCATTTTGGTGACGCTACTAATTTTGTTAATATTGCATGGAATTACATCTCACAACAAAGTTTGATTTTTTTGTTCAAAAGATATCAATTCTAGATTTTGTGATATCAACAATACAATCCGCAATGATAATGATATTGACAAAATTGTGGATTTGTTCCAAGATTGCTGCAGCTTTCTAAATATTGCCAATGTTTCAAATCTTTGCATTGAGATCCAGCACTGTTTCAACAACATTAATGATGAGTCCGACTTCTGTAAAAACGCTTTGATTGAGGAGATTGAAGATGCAAAGACAAATGTTGTCACCATTGCTACA